AGCAGGTTTAAGAAAACAACAATAAGGAAATTGGAGACAGCAAGGATAGCTACCTCTTGAAGTTTTGCTGTGAAGGGGAACAGAGAAACAGGAAAGTAGTATCAGCAGAATTTATACTTCTTCTATTTTATGCTGATTTATTTACATTCCAGTTGAGATGGAATGGTCAGCAGTGCCAAAGAGCAGGGAGAGTTTATTACACCGAAGTCTCTCAGAAGGTGGAAGAGATAGAACCACAGGAAAAGCAAGCATAGAAGTACCAGTGTCTGAAGGTCAACAGAGGTAGAAGTGGGATCTGAGATGTTTCCATCTTTCTGTTATCTGCTTCTTTCCAATAAGGGAAGCACCGATAACTACTTTGGACTTGGGTGTACCTATTCTACTAAGAAAGTTTCACCCAATCACCCTCATGATTTACCCCATGAGAAAATGATGGTCTACTCTTAAATTTGTGGGGTCTAAGTGCAGTTTGTAGTTCACTAGTGCCCACCAACAGACATTGGTGAGCCAGACTGCCAAACCCCCGTTTCCTTAACAGAAGCCTCTTCCATCATCTTCTTATCCAAGGCACTTTTCTAGGTACTTTCTAAATTGTAGAGCTGTTATATAGAGAAGAAATGGCAAATGAACAGTGAATTTCCAAGTTCTGACCAAAATCTAAATTCCAATTGTGTTTTACAACTAAGTTATAAGAAGCTGGACAACACTTTCAACTAATAATCCTCCACATTCCACCTGCTTCTATTCACATATCTTATCAGTCAAGAATGTCCATAGCATATCACACAGTGCAAAGATTCTATATTTCAATTATTTTCTCTCTCTTCTGTGTTGCTCCCATTTTGAATGCCATAAGGAAGAAAATGAGCATACATCATAGATAAATAGATACACACAGGAAGACCTCTCTGCAAATACGTATCTGTTGTCTTGAATATGTATACATTTGTAAAATCTATTCCTCAATCTAGATGTCTTTCAAGGAAACGTGTACAGTCCCCAAGGTACAAATATATGACTTACACAAAACTTGCACTTAGGAATGGAGGCTATTACGTGTTAAAAGGTAAATGTATCTATTCCAACTTAAACACAAATTCGACTTACTAGTAAACCTATAGAACCTATCTCCTTTGTAACCTAGGGACAACCTGTATATTTCTAACAGATTGACAAAAGTCTCTCAAGTATTTATTTATTAAAGAAAGATTTTCTCTAGAGTTCCAAGGTCAGCAAGCACTTGACTTTTTTCTTTTCTTTTTTTTTTTTTAGAGACAGGGTCTCACTCTGTCACCCGGGCTATGGTGCTATCATAGTTCACTGCAATCTTGAAATCCTACCCGCAGGCATCCTCCCACCTTGGCTTCCCAAAGTACTGGGATTACACACGTGACCACTATGCCCAGCCCCACCCTTGACTATTTTCTATTTTTGCTAGTTTAAAGATTTCTATCTGATATAACTGTGTGTGCATAATATACCTATAGAGAGAGAAGGTGTATGTGTACTTAAGCTTCAATAAAACCTGCTGTAGTTAGCTTTGGTTCTGTACACATAGCAAACCTCATAATCATATACATTCCAAAGCTTTGGTGCTAGTTCAATAATATATTGTACACATAAAATATATTAAACAC